CTCCACATTCTTCTATTTTTCTTTTTTACTTTATCTTTTAAATATTTTGGGAAAAGAATGATATTTTGAATTAGATAACTTCAAGGGTAGTGTAGATTTATAAAATATTATTATAAAATTATAGTATTTTGGGATCGACATTCTATGTACATTTGTACTACACTGGTTGATTTACTCTATAGAGGAGTGAAAAGCTTAACTCTAAAGTAGGTAAGTTTTTTATGCCTATTTTGATGATAATTTTTTATTGATATTTGATGTGCTAAAATTATCCTAACAAGTGTACTAGTTGCTACAAGTAATATAATGATAAGTAGAGTGTCGAATCCACAAGAATTATGATTAATTAATTACAAAAATAATTAATCTAAATTTATTTGAACAATCGAGAATGAAGAAACTTTAATTAAAATTAATAAAAAAAAATAATTAAAATAAAACTAATCAAAATATGAGTTACTAAGGTATCGACTTTATCATAACCAATTAATATGGACTTTCAATTATTATATTTTTAAGACATTTCTATTCGTATGACAATGAGATTTCATATTTTATTTGATATATTTTCTTAAGTTATATCAAACCTATCTTAATTTATTAACTCACTATATCTCTATGTAAATTTAAATAGATAAAGATGCATTATATTATGCAAAATTCTCTAGTTTACGTAAAAAATTAAGTATACTTATCACTAATACTACATGAATCATGTTGATCTATCTCTTACTTTCATTCAATTCATGGTATATATTATTAGAAACTATTGAATAAAATCTCCACTCGATCTCAATTATGTTCTCCAAATCAATTTTAATGGTGATCAAGCATTAAAAAGCATTAAAAACAATAATATATACTTATCATGAAATAGTAATCTCAAAAGTGTAAAAATCATAAAAGCATATATTGAATTGATTATACTACATCTTAACCCTAGTTGACTAAATTAGTTCATAATAAAAATAAGAAAACATAAAATCATAATTATGAACATTCAAATGTCAAATAATAGATAAAAAAATCTAAAGAAAAACAAAACTCAATTTAAGAGAATTAGATTTTTTGATTTTTTATTATCGATGAAATCTCTATCTTGATTTTCAATAATGCCAAAAAGAGAGCTGCCACCAACCTCTTAAAACTCTTCTCAATTTTGAATTTAAATGAATATTTATAGAATTTTAAAATCTCTAATTGAAATTAAAATGAGACCCGCACCCATAATAACCGATTAAACACGAATTTTGTGAAAATTACGTAAGGCATCAACACCTTCGACGAGGTGCCGACACTTTCTGTTCAGCGCACAATGCCATCATCGTGTCGGGTTTTTGGCCTTCTTTGTAATTTCTGTAATGGTAAAATTACAGTTCTGGTCCCTAACTTCTAGATTCTGCACAAGTTAATTTTAAAATTTTTGATCTCTGCAATTTACTCCTAAAAATTATGATTTCTTCTAATTAAGTCCTTTCCTACACAAAAAATAAAAATTATATAAAATCAAGTAAAATCCCATAAAACTCATCCAAATATCAATAATATCAAGGCAACAATTTCACATTAACATGCATATAAATTTATCTCATCAATATTTTTTTGATAAGTTTAC